GCTTTCCAAGCTACAAGCCCCCTCCTGAATGAGCCGGACCAAAATGCTCTGGACCCCCCATGGGGGTGTGTGCTGGGGCCAGGCAGGTGCCCAGGGATGCAAAAGTGGGGGAAGGACAGCAGCCAGGAGGGGGAAGAGGAGGATGGACAGGCTCCCCCCCCCCCCCCCCCCCCCAACCCCCAGCCACAGCGTGGAGGGTGCTTCGCTGCCCAGGTCCCTCTACAACATGCCAAGGGGTGTCCTGACCCCCCTTCCTCTTCCTCTGCATTTACCCAGTGAACCGCTTTGATGAAATACCCAAAGGCCACCAGTGGGCTGGTAGCCTTAACCTTCTCTTTGGGAAACCAGAATGGCTATAGAAATCCCGGGAATGCCTCCCTGTGTCCCCAGTAGAGCAGGGGCAGTGCCCCTCCACATGGCCGAGAGACGCTCTCGCCCCAGATTTTCAGCGCCCCTCTGGAAGCCTGGCCAAACCATGCGGGCCTCCAAATGAAACCCACCGCTTTTGTTTAACATTTGCTGTACTCAGTGATGAAACGATGATGGATTACTTCATCGTGGTTACTAGCGTGCCAGACTTCTTTTTTCAAACACACAATAGGAATATTCATTTACTGCTCCGACGACGAACGCTTTTATCCTCCTTATATAGTAACAACGCTGCACCAAAGAGCGAGTTTCATTTGTCACTGATACACTTCACCATCCCAGCTCACGGCCCCACGGTTGGCAGGTTATTCACAGGCGTCCCGAGCTTCTCTGATTTATTATCAGCCTTTTCCAACTGATCCCACACTCGCTGCCATCTGGCCACCCCGCCTGGGGGGTTACAGCATCATTCAGGGCACTACGAGAGGGCTGGGGTAACTCTCCGAGGGGGAGAGGGGATGCAAAGCTGGGGCTGCTCCCTCAGAGGCAAGAGAACGAGATGCAGGATGGGGATGTAACGGGACGGTGAGGGGGCCCGGAGCAGCAGCACGAAGGGACTATGCCTTCAAATCCAAAGGTGGCGAATCCAAAGCGGATAAAAGGAAGCATTTTTTTTTTCACTCCATGCTTAATTAGGCTGCCACAGGAAAATGCTCAGGCCAAAATTTAGCAGGATTCAAGAAGGCATTGGGCATTTATGGGGATAACAAAAATATCCAGCTATAATAGCGGATGCCAACACAAATTCTGGAAGGGATATTAAGCCTCACGCGTCAGGGTGTAAACCTATCCCAAACTCTCAGAAAGTAGGGAGCTTAACACAGGGGCAGATGACCCACATATGCTACCGCTACCACTGCCGCCTCGCTGCCGGCACGGCCCCGCGCTGGCCGAGCCACTGGCTGGACTGTCCCCGGAGCCTCGTTTCCTGCTGCCGGCAGCGCCTCTGAAGAGGGCTGAGAATTTCTCTTGGCAATTCAGCCCTTTGCTTGTAGCTCCCCGGGGCCGCGTGTCTCCCAGGGCTCTGACCTCCTCCACCTCGCCCGTCCCCTTGCTTTGCCGGCTCATAACAGCCTTATCACTTTAACCCAGAGGCAGCCCCTCGGGGTAAGGGTCTGTGCGGACCACAGGCACATCCCCGGCTGGTGTGGCGTCTTCCCACAGCTTCTTGCTTCCAGCCAAGCCCCTCGTTTCCCTCTCAGGTCACTTGTTGCCCAAATGCACCTTTGACTCCTGATTTCACCCCTCCTGTTCCCCATTTCTGCTGGGGCCGGTCTCCAGCCTCTGAAAGGGGCTGCTCAGCTCCGGCATCTCATGGGTGCTGCACGTACGCAGGCACGGCCCTGCTTTCATGGGCATTGCTCAGGTGAGTGCTGGGTCATGCCTCACGCAGAGCCATCCTCACCCGCTCCCCATCAGCGGCAATTGCTGTACTGCCTGCTCTTGGCCAGAAGAACCTGCTGTCACCCCCAGCCCATCAGTGGCCACAAGCCTGGCACGGCTGCAGCCCAGGCTGGGGTGAAACTGCTGTGCTGTGGTACCCGGGAGCTGGGTGCGAGCACCTCCATCCCCGCCGAGGATGGTGCCATTGCATCCCACGTGGGTTGTTAACAGGACGCCTGTGCCTCTCCAGTCCCTGCGAGATGGGATGCTCCTGAAACCTTGGCCGCTGTGAAGGATCAGAGATGGCTCAGCGTGACCAGAGGGGAGCCTGGAGCTCCCCTGGTCGGGGGCCAGGGTCTCCCGTGCTCGCTGCTTGCGTGCTCACCACCCTGCCGAGGGCAACCCCGCTGGGGTCCTTTGGATCTCCCCTCACTGCGGAGCCTTGCACCCACAGGGGCTTCCAACTGGAGACATTTCTGGAGGGCATGAATCAGCTTTTCACAGCTTGTTAAAAATCTTGATCCTACCTCTTGTTTTCATGCCTTTCAAATCAGGAAATGAGTTTTACAACTTTTCCAGTGGGGCACAGCTGGTGGCCAGGGTCGTAAAGCTGAACTTTATAAATATCTCTTGTTGGGATCAGGGGAAGAGCATTAAAAAGGCAGAGAGAGAGAGAGAGAGAAGGGAAAGGAGCAAAGGCAATAGAGAAGCAAGGAAACCTCAGTGAAGAAGCCCAGCTCAACGCCGGCCATGGCCATGCGGGCGCAGAAGATGGGGTGTGCTTGGGGCAGGCTTTGCCTCCTGCTCTCCCTCCTCCTACAGCTGCCAGGCTCCCAGGCTAAATGCTACTTCCAGGCTAAAGGTAAGCGGGGAGGTGAGCCGGGAAGATGCCGATGGGAAGAGGAGGCCTCAGCTTTCCCTGGGGCGGCAGGGCTCTGCCCTGCGTGCCTGCGAAGCGCGGAAGGGACTGTGCTGAGCTCAGGAGCACGATCGTGGGCCAGTGATGAGTGGAAGGAGCAGTCTATAAACCACCGAACAGCTCCCCAGGGCTCTGGCTGAGAAACAGCTTGCTGGGCCATGAAGAGCTCCTGGCAGGAGCCCGGCTGGGGCCGAGCATGCATGTCTAGTAGCAAAGGGAGGAAGGCTGCCCATCTTTTCTCTGCTGCCTCCTTCCAGGGCTGCAGAGATGCTCAGACCCCAAGAGGCACTGGATATGCCCTCTCCAGGGAAGCAAGAGCCACTTTGCCACTGCCCCTGGGGCAGTGGGGAGAGCAGCAGGGTATAGCTAGGAGACGATGGATGGGAGCATCGCCCTTGGCAGATGCCTGGGCATCCCATACCTGCAGGGTGGCGGAGAGGCCAGCAAGTATCTTCTATACCATGGGGCGGGTGGGAGGTCATGATGTCCCCCCTGTCCCCTCTTTGAGGGCAGAGGGGTGCCAAGGAGGCTCCCACGCACCCCGGCGCAGGCCCATGCGTGCTCATCGCCACCGTTTCCTTTGCAGCTCCCTGTGAGTACGAGGGGAAGCAGTTCTCCCTCGGGGAGTCGTGGCTGAGCACCAACTGCCTGCTCTGCACCTGCCTGCACCCCATCGGCGTGGGCTGCTGTGAGACGTGAGTGAGGGGCTGAGGGGCGCTGGGGGTGGGCTACTGCTGGTGATGCTGCCCTTCCATGGCACCTCTGCACCTGCAGCTGGGAGGAGGTCGTGTGGGTCTGGTGGCTGCAAACGCAGCGGAGCAAATGTCAGAGCCCCAGGCGGCTGCGGGATGCCAGGCGCTGGGGGACAAGGGGCAGAGGTGGGCAGGAGCCCACTGAGGTGCTGAGGGTGGCGGGGTGAGTTGGGGAGACAAACGTAGGGGCCGGGGATGTCTCAGCACAGCGAGATGCCAGGAGCTGTGGCCCAGCCTGCCTGAGCTGGCCTGGGAGACACCCCGGCCGGGGGGGCTGGCAGTGGAGGAAGCCACCCAGCCCTGCCAGCAGCCCCCTGGCATGGACCAGGGGGAGCTGATGGTGCCGTGCCCTCTCCTGCAGCACCCAGCACCCCATCGACTTCCCCGACTGGTGCGAGGCCCACTACGACTCTCAGACCTGCCAGATCTCGGTGGTGCAGAAGGCCAACCCCAGCCTGCCCTGCGTGAAGAGCATGGAGCACGAGTGGGACTCGGCCGGCACCCCTGAGCCGCTGAGCAACAAGGTGCTGGGTGCGGGGCTGAGCAGATAGAGGCTCAGCAGCACCCCGCGCCCCCCCGGCATCATCCTCCTTCCTCCAGAGCACACCTCCCGCATGCTCCAGACCTGCCCCATCCCGTAGAGACGTCACTGCCGCCACCTTCGAGGGAAACCACTATCCACACACTACGGTTCCGAGTTAACATTTACACCCCAGCGCTGCGACGGGTGTAAGCTTCCACCTTCAGCTTCCTGAACCGAACCAGGGCCCCCTCCCCATGAGACGCCCTGCGCACCGTGGGAAGGCAGATCCTCCGGGATCTCTTCCCAGGTGGGCAGGAAACCTCCAGCTACTAAAGAAAGGGGTACGGGACCAAATTAGTCCGCATCACAGCAGTCTCATACTCCCGCATCCAGCCTCAAGCTAAGCAGCTCCCTCCTCCCCGCCCCGAGACCCCCGTCCCCCTGCACAGCAGCTGCTGGGAGCTCGTTGGGGAGCACCACTGCCCTTCGCACAGGACCCACGCACCCCGGCCAGCCCCTTCTCTGCGCCAGAGCGTGAGGGGCACAACCCACCTCTGGAACCACTAATGTCCCTGCTCCCACAGCTCCCGGGGTCGGAGGGGATCCCCGGCACTGCAGACCAGCCCTGGGCAACACTGCAACGGAGCCAGCCCGGGGTGGGTGGCACAGCGAGCGGGGAACCACTAGAAGATGTCCCCAGGGGAGGCCCCCATCCCAGCTGCAGGGGAGCGGGGCGGGGAGCCGGGTGCTCTGCTAGGGTTCAGGGAGCTGAAGCAATCCGCATGTGCCAGGGTGGAGCCGGCCGCCCTGGCAGCCTGCCCCAGCTGGTGCCATGCCCGTGTTGTGCAGAGCCTTGTGTAGATGTTTCTGTTCTTGCAATAAAGATATAAACAAAGAGGAGGTCTCCAGCCTGTGACTGTCGTGCAAGGTGGGCCATGTCCACCACCGGGAACAGTGCAGGAATAAGGCTCCTGGGAAGGCCAAGTTTTGCACATTCAAATGTTTATTAGATTTCCATGCAAAGAGGAAAACTCTTCGAAAGGTTTGGTAGAAATGGGGAGCTGGCTGTTGAGCAGGGAGATCTCCATCCCAGCTCCTGAACACACGGCACGCATTCACTCCAGCTCCCTGAGGATCCCGAGACCAGCAGGATGCCTTTGCGCCCAGGAGCGCAGGCAGAGAACAGCCCAGGCGCTCAGTGCTTCTCGGTTTTGGACCACCACTACTGCGCTTCCACAGCACGTGGCCGCATCCAGGACACCAGCACGTGCCGGCAGCGCAGGGCTGGCCTGCCAGGACCTGCCTCCTCCGGGTGAAGGTAACGGGGGCACCGGGCTGTGTGCATGAGACACCCCTCACAAGAGGCAGGACGCGTGCCAGGGCAGGAGAGCAGGCTCCCACCCAGCCCAGGTGGCCAGCGTGCCTCCCCTGGACACCAGACCTCTGCTTGTGGGGGTCTCTCTGTAGGGGGGAGGGCCTTCACCCAAGGCTGGTACGGGGCTTCATTGGAAGAGCTCCCCTCTCCTTTCCCCGGGCTGGGCCTTTCCCTCGTGGAAGCCCCTCGTTGGGTAAAGGCACATCGGGCCATTGCCTGGGAGGCAGATTTCTTTTTGGCGAGTGCTGGGACTCGCACCTTCACCCAGGCAGGAAGGGTCCAGCTCCCAGCTGAGGGCTGCAGCACAAGACACCGCAGCAAGCACAGCGCTCCTCCACCCGCAGGTGGGACGGACTTGCCCAGTGTCCACCTGGGCGTTGCAGATGAACCCATGGGGACACTGGGATGCGCGCGCTGCAGCATGCCAGTGACAGTCCTGCCTGCCATTCCCACCGGCAGCACGCGCTTGCAGCACCGCAGGCCCCTACCAGCTCTCCGCGCTTCAGATGGTGATGGAGTTAGTGCTGGAGAACTGAGATACGTAGGAAGCCAGGATGGGGTTGGTGGGAAGGACTTTGATGGGCAAATCCCAGCTGAAAGTGTCCACTTCGATCTGCTCCACCCCAGTCCAGGTGACGGCCTCCGACTGGCTCCCACGAACCAGGCAAGTCCCCGCCGACTCCCCAGAGGTCACAAACTCAAAGTGCAGCCTCCACTTCAGGGACACTGTGGGCAAGAGGGGGGTCAGCAGCCAACACCACAAGGGACAGGGACAGCAGCTGTCTCAGCGCTGGCTGTCCTGGCAAGGGGACGCGCAAATAAGCCCACTCACGCAGACCAGCTCCCTCCCACAGGACACAGCCCTGCTGAGCAAGGGCAGGGCTGGGGACATCACAGTCCTCCTGCAGAGACGAGCAGGGGTGGGTCCCTTCCCTGGTGGCCACTAACCGATGTTGGTGGTGAATCCCGGGGTAGAGCTGAGCGGGATGGGCAGGCTGAAGCTGCTCTGGGCCGTGTGCAGGCAGGCCTCCTGATGGCGGGCGTGCGTGCTGAAGGAGACGGGCTGCCCCCGCCGGCGCTGGAACTCCTCCTGGATGCTCTCCTCCGTCTGCAGGCTCACCGAAAACTGCAGGGCAATCAGCAGGGTGCTCGCTCTCACAATCTCATGCAGCCCTGGCACAAAGCCCCGGGGCCTCCCTTTCCCAAATGTGCTCAGAACTGGAGCCCTTCCCCACCTCACACCCTTAGGGGACCTTAGCTGGGTCCCACAAGAAACCCTCAGTAGACACCCCACAGCAGCCCAGTGTCACCCCAATCCCTTCTTCCTCTCCCCCACCCGAACACCCTGCCTCTCACCACGCTGACCCCGAAGCCAGCACTGACCTGCAGACACGGGATGTCTCCTTCCGAGAAGTTAAAGGTCCCAATGACATCCTCTCCGATCTTATACACGGTCTTAAAGATGCAGAACGTCCCCACCTTCCCACGAGTGTTGCTGATGTTATACAGGTCTGTGGGGCAAGAAGACGGGGGGAAAGGGCTGCAGCAGGATGAGGCTGTGCTCCAATACAGCGCTCTGGGTTAATCACAGAGCCCAGCAGACATGACCCCACGCCTGCTGCTTGGGTGTGAAGGACAGGCCCTGGAGGCGGCATTCCCTTTGGGAGATGCCTGCAGTGAGCAAGAGCAAACCACACACTGGCTGTGATATGCTGGGGAGAGGGTCTCTCTGGCTGAACGAGGAAGAGCCTGAGACTGGCAGGGAGGAGCCCATGGGAAACTCTGACCCAAGGAGGCCCTGATGGAGCTGCTCCACAGCCCCAGTCAGAACTTTGCTTTGCCAGCGAGAGATTTTTGCAGCGAGCCCTGAGCCCTTCATGCCCAGGTTAGGACAGCAGTTTCAAGCAGGGGATGAGACCTACGCAGGCTGCGTCGGGAGGTGGCCACCATGAGCAGTTCTGTTGCCAGGTCTGCCAGGCGAGAGTCTTTCTTCAAGCCCTCTTCCTCCTCCAGGAAGGGGTTTGAGGGCGCAACCGCCTCATCCTGTGGGAACTGGTAATCCTTGAGCCCTGGGGAGAAGGCGAGAGCGTCAGCGGGGCAGGGTGCAGCCAGGCCTGTGTCTGCAGGGAGGGCAGTGTGTGGCCTTACCGTGCAGCACGAGGACACGGAAGGGAACGCGCAGGAGCTTGATGGGGGAGTTGACACGCTGGCAGCCGATGGTCAGCTTGTACACGTACTTCACTGACTGTCCCCGGAAAGAGGGAGGGCCGTCTATGGGCAGCGTCTCACAGTACGAATCTGCAAGGAGTGCAGAAGATTGCTTTCCAAGGCCAAAAGGAAGATCCTGGAGCTGTCGCTCGCAGGCTCCCTGCACCGAGGGTTAGGAACAGCAGCGGGGCTGAACTAGGGACAGTGCCTGGTGCTTTCTGCTGTCTCCTCTTTCCCACAGCAGGCCAAGCACATCCCCGGCTTCCCTGCACCAGCGCACTGCTCCTCACATCACATGCGCCGTCATCCAGACATTGCTTCCAGCACATACAACCACACACACAAACTCTGCCTCAAAAGAATGTGAAAGATGTAAAATCCAGGAACACAAACACGAGAGCTAAACTTACTCATCACGAGTTCAACCTGAATTTGCCTCTGTGCACTTCCTTCGCACACCGCTTTCACGATGCAGTCACACACTGCGGTTTCCTCAGGGCCCTGCCCCATGTGGCAGAGAGGTGCCAATCAATACCTCATGCCTCTTTTGATACTTGCTTTACACAAACCCCAAACTCAGCAACAAAAGTAAGTTTCTTCCTGTGTTTTTCTCTGAACCACCGGGTCTCAATGGCCAAGAAACAATTAAGAGACCTTCACAACAACCTGTGGCGTATCCCCTTTGACAGACTGATGACTTAGACCACAAAGCCTCTGACTCCAAGACCTCCGAGATGCCAGGGCCTGGCTTTACACCACATTCAGCCCTCTCAAAGCCCCTTGGCCACCACACAAACCCCAACACTTCTCAACGCGGCGTGAACACTTCTGCAGCTTTCCCAAACCGCACACTGTATAATAAGAAAGGCGCAAACAGTGAACTGTGGAAAGTCTCCACCTCTCTGGCTTGCCCACCGTGACGCAGATACACCCTGCCAGAGGAAGGGCAGCATCCTGCTGTGAAACCACAGATCCTTCCCCAAGTCTGGCACATCTGAAACATTGAGGCTTAGATTAAAAGCTAGGGTTACATTTTAAAAGTAACTTCTATATTTAAAATAACACAACTGGAAGGAAGAAAAAAGCCCGTGCTAGTGTGTAGCACCCACAGGCCGTCACACCTTAAAACACAAGGCTGTCCCATTGGATCAGGGTGCAGATAAAGCTGAGAACTGTCCTGACAGGGAGGAAAATCAGGTATTTCCAAGGAAGGAAGCAGACTGCTGTAACCACCTGCACCAGGCTTAACAAGAGTGCTCACAAAGACCTTCATGCCCAGTGAGGATAATCTGAGCAGGGACCACTGCCATCTGAGGAGGATGGGCGGTTTGCTACCTGGCACAGGAATGCTGACACTCGGGAAGTCCCAGCTTCCGTGCATATCCCAGAAGGAAGCACATTCCTGGTGCTACAGATGCCTTCCTTACCCACCCGCTGTACCCTCTGGCTGGGCTCCCGGCCTGTGTCCAAGCTGCTTCCATTTCCTCCCCTCTCGGTGATCTACCAAATATTTAAAGGTATTACAAAACTGGAGAGGAGGCAAAAACAGCCACAAAAATGACTTGAGGGCTTGAGAAAATGTTTTATGGTGACAAATTTGAAGAGGTCAGTCTGGGCAGTGTGTCAAAGGGATGGGAGGTGGGTCAACTTCAACATATAGGCACCATAACAAGGGGAAGATATTGGGGAATAAGCTGGTCAGCAACTGAAAACAAGGCCTTTTATCAAGAGACAGCCTGACACAACCTCAGCTGTATGTGCCAGCTCTGGCTACAGTTTAATAACATACTACTTTGCTGAAGCAGAATTAAGATTTCTTGGGGGTTTTTTTGCCTTTCCAAACTGTGCAGCAAAACTCCAAACTTCTGAAAAACAGGAAATGAAGAATTAAGATACACACCCACACAGCCTTAACTCTGCCTCCACGGAGCTGGCAGGAGCCCCCAGGAATGATCTGCAAGTGTGCCAGCTGCAGTCTCGCGTGAGAGGAGCAGCACCGCAGGCCGACGGGATCGGTGTGAGCAGCCTGGCAGAGCCGGGGCTGTGATACGGGGGTTTCAGTGCTAAAAAGGCCAGTGCCATACACAGCGGCATCGCACGTGACACACGCAATGGACCTGTGCGTCACACAACCAAGGGGAAAGGCTGTAACATACAGCCAGGGAACCTCAAAGTGTAGAAGAGTTTGTGTCCTTCCTATGGAGGTGCATCCAAGCACAAGGCAGATGCAGGCTGCTTGTGCCAGTGTCACCCAGTGGCAGAGCGGACAGACACAATACAGTATCACTGGGAAGGACAGACTATCGCTAGCTTAGCTGGGAGCTGAACAGCTTCTGCCTGCAAAGCCAGCGCACAAGGAAATCCTCTCAATCCATCCCAGCCACCTGGAGGTTGGACTGTAGTTACTGATCTGCTCTCCCAGACACTGCTGAGCCTGCTTGAGATGCTCCAGAAAAAGGGGCTTCCCCCGACTCTGGGGGAATGGATGCTCCAGCTCCACACCTGCCAGCAGCGAGGAGCACAGGAGAATCCAGGCGAGCCTCAGGCCAGCTGAGATTTCTGCCGCCGCCTCCTCCTCCCTGGCATGGCCGCTTTCAGAAAGCACAGGGGACCTTGGCTCCGATGCGGCAGGGCCAGTTCCCTTCCTGCACATGCTGCTGTAGAATAATAAGTAAATAACTAAATGTGCTCAGATGATAGGCTTTGCAGTTTAGGAGGCACAGCTCCAGACAGCACTGCCCCACCCCGCTAACCACCTAGCCAAGCCAGCTTGCTTTCACCCTGTCTGCCCTTCCCTCCAGTCAGGCCCCTCCAAGCCTAGAAAGGCAGGAGACCCCAGCTTCAAAACCAGCATGTCACAGCCTGTGGCTCCTTGGTCTCACTTGCAGCTCTGCCCTCACCTCCCCAGAGCTCAATGCTCCAGCGGAGCCCCCTCCACCACAGGCACTGCCTCTCCGCCCCCTTTGCTCTGTGACTTGAGAGGTCTCCGTCAACCGTTCCCAGCAGATCCCTAGGACAACCCGAAGAAGCTGTCCACGCGCAGCCTGCGATGCCTGTGCTGGTTATGCCCTGGTTGTGCTGCCACTGGACCACGGGCCGCTGGAACGCAAAGGAGATCCAACACAAACTGACAGGCTGGGTCATGCAGCCACCAACCAGGAGACAACAGCACGTACTGTATTTTCGCAGCTGTCTACTCAGGTAGAAGAAGCTGCCTGGAACAACAAAAATGAGTTGCTGCAAATTCCTTGTGAAAAGGATGAAAATTTCTCTAAACAGCAAAAGGGAAAGTAGTAATGAAGGAGAGCTTAAAGGGGACCCACTGGAAGGACACCGTCCAAGGGCTTTAGAGACATGGAGAGCTTTGAGCAGAGGAGATGAGAAGTGCTCTTTTACAGCAGGAAAGCTAGAACAGGCAGAAGACTCTCTGATCTCCAGGACAGCCACAACCTGAAGAGGAAGCATGGACCTTCGGAGGATGCCAACCTAAATCCCAAGAATACTCCAGTGTGGCTGAAGAAATAAAGGTAGGGAAATGCAGGTGTGTGTAACCATTCCTTCAGCTGCAGCCACGTATTTCAAAACGTTCTATGCCTCGCAGTTACACAACAGACCTGTGGCAAAGAACACGGGCCAGGGGCAGGACTGAGGGACACGTTGCGGTATACAGCTCTCATACGGTGGAGAACAGACTCTGGACGATGCAGCAGTTCCTTAGCACTCACACTCCCACCAAAGCACCTTGCCTTCCGCGGGCACCAGGGTCTCCCACTTGCAGCACTCAGGTCTGCAAAGCCAGCTTGGAGCGCGGGGCTCCCCAGAGGCAAGCTCTCTGAGCTGAGGAAGAAAAGACAGGACTCACAGGACTTTGACTCCCCGGGATCCAGTCGCAAGTCACAGAAGAGAATCTTTGGTGGCGTGGACAGGATACACTGACCCCGCTCTCCTGGAAGAGAAGAAGAACCACGTGAATGCTGCCCAGCCTCGGGGCCCAGGCCAAGGGGGGCACTCACCGCGCCCAGGCCAGCCGGGCCTTATCCTCATGGGGAGGAATGGGGAGAAGGGGACAAGGGGGAAATATCTCATGCCCAGTCAGATCACGAGACATTCCCAGAACAGCTGGGCAGACAACCCTCATGTTTTGCTCTAAGCTAGCGCCACTTTGGTCTCACTATTAACAAGGCCCTGCAGCAGCCATCACCAGGGAATCACACAACGAAAGCCACATGGGCTTCCCGCTCGCTTCTACGCGTGCTGGCCTCAAGAGACACGTTATAGTCTGCTTGACTCCTGCTCGCTGTGCTCTCACCGTCCCTACCCGGGGTTACAGGAGTAGCACTCACCTCTGTTGGGGACAAAGACTGTCTCGTTCTCCGCCTGCACGTCGTGCTTGCTGCCATCAGAGGGAGGGAGCGCTACCCGGTTCTCGCTGGCGTGAAACTGGCAGTGGATCTGGGCGCTGGCCCACGCCAGCATCTCACTGAGAGCAAAGAAGAACGACACTCGTGTCTATGCTTTAAACCTGGATTACAGCAGGCATGAAGTGACATGCAGAGCAGCACTCAGGTGATAACGCGACCATCAGGGAAGTGGGCAGACTCAAAAGCAAAAAATACCTGCAGCCTGGGTTCAGCTGCCCCTGCCCACGGCACCTGGCTGCCCCAAGCTCAACACTTCTCAGGGCAGGCAGGGCACAGCCGTGCTCCCTCCCCACAGCACTGTCCCCCTCAAGAACAGCAACTTCTGGTTGTGTCAGACCAGAGAAGGACGCTTCTGCGTCCTTCATAAGGACCTGTTTTCTCCTCATGATGCAAGGGATTCGCTGATGGCTGTAGGGGAGGCGAAGGTGTCATTTTGCCCTCTCTCTGTACAGCCACAAGGACTGGTTGCATCCAGCGTGTAAAACAGTCTCATGGTTTGGACTCTGCTACAACCTCAGCCATTCCACAGGGCATTTCCCATGGCATTACCGACACCTTTCCGTCTCCAAAACACTCACCTATTTTTATTTCAATAGCAGTCTCGTTAATTTAGCCAGTGTATGGTTCCTCTGGTGTTTTCTAACATCATGATCTGATTAGTAAGCACTGACACCAGAGTTTTAGGTGGCACAGGGATTTTTTGTGACACACGGGTATCTCTTGATGTGACACATCAGAGCAGTTAAACGTCTAGACGAACCAGAGAAAAAGGCGTGCTGCATTCGTTTCAGCTGACTAACAATGAGCTATTTGATCTTTTGTATGTGCTGGCTGCTTTTACCCAATGGCTGCTTTTACCCAAACACGCATTGCTTACTCTACCCAGTTACTTCTAACCCCGCAATTGTAATTCTTGTATCTTCAAAAGTACCAGCATGGCTTTTCCATAAGGGCTGCCATAAGGTTTTCTGTCGTAAGGTATTTGCTATATGGAAAGAGAGAAATGCTCCTGCTTAAGAGACAATGTTTACTAATTTTATATAAGCTTAGCATGACTACAATACCTTCAAACACCGTATTTTGAATCTTCTTTTTTTTCCCATTTATTTTCAGTATTGCCCAACAATATGCCACTGGATTGTTTTCTTTTTTTTAACGAGACGCCCCAACAAAATTAGCACGTGCCTTCCTACCAGCAGACCTGGCTTGTCCAGCTGGCAGAGCGCGGAATGATCCTGCACTGGTGCTGAGGTTGCTTCCCTCCTCTCTCACCTCCCCCTACAACTCCTGTAGCCCACAGGAGCCACGCTCCACGCAGCCTTTGGGCAGAAGAGCTCTGTTTCTTGTACGCCTCGTACACCACAATCAAATTTGCTTGCTGCCATTTACTTACTGTCCTTCGGTTCTGTCCCTATGCTTGAAATGCGTGCCTCTCAGTTCCTCCACCTGTGCCGCAGCTTTTGCTAGCCCTGAAAGCTTCTTGTCCCCGACAGGTCTATCTGCCTGTTGCAGTGACTGTGCTTTGATCTGGCTCTTGCCTTTACGCAACCCACAGCTTCAACTTCCAAACCACCAACCTATTTGGTGTTGCCACTCGTATGACTTAGCCAGGTCCCGTCAAGTTTGGTCACCTGCTTTTTTATTTTAAAAACTCTCCTTTTTCCAAGAGGGGGTTTTCTACAGACCACGACACACCTGAATTTTCCAAATGACTGTGCTGCGAACCTCCAAAACCGCTCCACCTGGTACCTTTGCAGTCCCACATGTTTTGGAACCGGGAAAAACAGCACTGTCACTGCACAAGACAAAACTCTGGAAAGCCAGATGCTTATGCCACAGCTGAATTTGAAAGCTGAATTCAGCAGGCAAGAGGAACCAGGAAGAAAAGATGGAAAGCTAAGGAAGGCAATAAACGAAGAAGCCCTACAGCAGTAATACAAGAGACTGCTTTGCTGCTGCTGAGACTGCAAGCACTGGACGTGGGTCCAGCAAAACAATCATGTGTGCAATGTGTACTGGTGATAACAAGATGCTGAACCTGACAGGGCTGGAAACGGACACTTCCCAGGAAGGGCTCAAGATGAGAAAGCACTCTCCACCCCCTGGAGAATCAGACAAGGCCACACACTCAGCGGACGTGGAGGCTTTGGGTGACTACTTATGATGTGGAGTCACCCCCTGTGAGCCAATATAGGAAGCTCCCATCTTCTCACATTTCCTCAACACCTATTTCGGGCACAGTAATGATAAGGGGAGATGCAGCGCTCAAAGGCTGGGCCGCAGAAAATGCTGCCACAGAAGGCTGCCTCTTTCTGAGTCTAGACAGCGCTCGCCCCTTTGCCTGCCAGTTCTGGAGGCAGGGATCACACTATGTCAGCGCACTGCTGGACAGAGAGAGCTCCTTCCATAAACGTAGGAAATAATGACGCTGTCTGGATGTTGCCCTGTGAGACCTCACCCTGGTGTAACTAGATATCCCGCTTTGACAGCCAGTTTGGCTTCATTTTCTGCCAGTAACCCTGTCGCTGAGGGCACACCTGAGGGGCAGTTAAGAGTATCTCTAACTACATAATTTTTTTCTCGTCTCTTTCTTGGGGGCAGAAAACCAGAATAATTACCTCAGTTTCAGCCCTGAAATAGCAATGGCGCAAAGCACCCTTAAGGGAGTACCTCAGGCAGGGAAGTCACCAGTGGCTGAGCTGGCACCATTGCCCCACAACCCACCCATGACTACATCTGGCTGCTCAGGAGGGAGGGAGGGCCATTCCCTCTGGAGGGACCCTGACAGCTCTGCCACTTTGAGGCTTCACGCACAGAAGGGCCCATCGGCACAGGCCGCCCTACCTGCTGGCGGAGGTAGACGAGGCCGATAATGGGTTGGTGAAAGTGATCACGCACTCCAGCACCTCCCCTGCCAGGAAGACGGGCCCACGGCCCAGCTTGGCCAACACCTCGATCATGGCTTGGACAGCCCTGCTGCACACCTGCCAAAAAAACCCCAACAGTGGGCATGGAGAGAGGGCTGGGCGCCGTAACAGAGGGGGAATGGCAACAGCCAGGCCGGGCACATGCACACGGGGTGGTCAGGGGGAGCCCCAGCTCTAGACACAGCACACGGACATGTGCAAGGTCAGGGACAGCCCTGGCCTTGCACGCACGCACACACGGGGGCAGAGACAGCCCCAGCCATACACACAGACACACACACACGCAGGGGAAACACGCACAGCCGTGGCCATACGCATACATACATCCCCCCTCCTCCCTCAGCTCCACACAGCCGTAGGAGGGGGGTCAGGACATCCTGCGGGGGCTGAGGGACAGCCCTGCCACCCACAACCCGGCGGGCTCAGGGGCGGCCCCGACCGCAAACACACAAACGTAAACGCCCACCAGAGGGGCCAGGGACACAGAACCGCCCGCCCCCCGCAGCCCCCGCCCCAGGCCGGCCTGGCCCCACTCACCGC